ATACTGGGTGGGACCAACTCTGATTTCCATCCTTGTCAGCAGCGTGGCTGGTGGGACAGAGCTCATTCTCAGCAGGTTTGGCGATGGCACCAAGCTGTGTGGTGGGATCAGCATGCTGGAGCTGAGGGACCTTGAGAGGTGGGAGAGGCTCGAGGCCTTGAGACTGTGCAAACCTCATGGAGTTCAGCAAGGCCAAGTGCAAGGTCCTGCATGTGGGCCAGGGCAATCCCAAGCACAGATACAGGCTGGGCCAAGAATGGATTGAGGGCAGCCCTGAGAGGGACTTGGGGGTGCTGGTGAGTGAGAGGTTGGACATGAGCCATCAGTGTTTGATGGTAGCCCAGAAAGCCAATGGTATTCAAAATATATAAAGTATATCCAAAGCAGCATGGGCAGCAGGGAGAGGGAGGAGATTCTGCCCTTCTACTCTGCTCTTGTGAGAACTCACCTGGAGAGCTGCATCCAAGCTACAGGGCTTCCAGCATAAGAAGGATGTGGCCTCTCTGGAGTGAGTCCAGAAGAGGCCACAAAAATGCTCACTGGGCTGAAGCACCTCTCCTAAAGAGACAGGCTGAGAGAGCTGGGATTGCTCAGTAAATATTCATAGACTCATAGAATGGTTTGGGTTGAAAAGGACCTTGAAGATCATCACCTGTCAAGCCATGGCCATTACAACCAGCATGCTCACCCACCAGCATGTCACAGGGAGGTAGTAGGCTCATGGCCTGATGTAATCGAAAACCCAGATTTGGTTTTATTTTTTGCACCTTCAGTCACATTTCTATTTCCTTTGTTTTTGCAAGCAGTTTCACAAAATGTATGCTTTGTTTTCCAAGCAGACTGAGCTGGTGGTGCAGTTATAGGGTTACAGAGAAGGAATTTCTCAGCTTGTACTTTTTGTTTCTTCCTGAAGTTCTTTTCCTTTTGGTTCAGAGTGTTAAAACCTACATCAGATTACTTCTACCTGTCGCTACCCTTCAGGGAAAAAATCTTCAAGCTGCATGACTTAGTTTCATTTCTGATTTAACCAAACCTCACACACAGCAAAACATGCCAGCATCAATCTAGAGACAGGTATGACCCAATCACAATGGCAAGACAAACATACATCCTTATATCACCCTTGTTAAGTAGGGAAGCATTGTTATTCCCAGTTTACTGACAGGGAGACAAGGTCCAAGGGAACTAGATTATTTGCCACAAATCATCCAGACTTTTTGGAATATAGCTAGAAAATGACTCCCAGGCTCCTTGGTACATCCAGATTTGTAACCCCTAGACACAGTATATATGACAGCCTGCCTTTATAATGTGCAGGTATAACATCTTTTTAAATATATAAAAATATACACACACACACACACACACACACACACACATATATATATAAAACTTGATGAACATTTAACATAAATATTGATAGTAAACATATTTCTTCATGTAAAGGATTATGATAACAATTTAGAAAAACAGGTTATGTGAATAGTGCAGAAACATTTCAGTCAAAAAAGCCTTGAGAGGGTGAGTTTAAGGATGGGAAACAAATGTCTCTGACTAGATATTTGTCATTCTAAAGCAAAATGGAACAATTATCTGTTTTCACAGAGATAACATTTTGAAATATGTTAAATATTTTCCTATGGCCGTTATCAGGGAGAGCGTGGTCATGGGTAGATAAATTGGCTGGTAAAAATACTGTGGTTCCAATGTGGAGAACGGTAAAATATGGCTCTGTCTCCCACTGATTGTTAATTTCTCAATCAGAGAAATTAAAAAATTAAAAATTAAAATCCACACTTGCTTTGAATCAACTAACCACACTGATGCAATTTATTAAAAAAAAGTACTTCATTACACCAGCCTGATTTGAAGTTCTTCTACACTTTGTGCACAGCCACATTCATGATGCCACACTGCAACATGACAGGGATATTGCTGGGAGGAGAACATAGTGCACTGAACACAAAGATACTGTTTTAATACAGAAAGCTGTATATGAAAGCCACTTCTTCTGAGGATCTAACTTTAAATAGCCTGTAGCTTCCTTTAACTGTGAACGTAGCAGCCTGCTTTCATCAGGCTATAAATTTACTTAACAGGTTATGATTATTATTGATTTGATGGTGATTACTCTCAAATTTATGCTGTTGAGGAACTGACCCAATATCTTTTGAACTCCATTTAACTAAGATCAATGACAAATGGATCAGGCCCCAGAGTACAGAGAACTGCAGGAAAAATAGGGTGGTATTATATTTTATTGGTTTTCTCCCTACCATAATGGTACAATTATAAACAAGGAAACCCCATGCCTTACAGCCTTTTCCTCCCTCTTTTCTTTTTTTTCAGATCATTTACTCATCTCCCTGTAAAAGTAATCCCATCCCATGCATTTGAAGGACTTCAAGATGCCTTCATCATGTAAGTTGTCAATATTTTCTATAGGATTTTCCTTAATTTCTTACAAAAATCATCCTTTTATAATAATGTCAAAATGTGTGGCTAATACACTTTACTGATATAAAAAAAACACAGGGGAAGGATAAACATAGCATTCCTTTTCATGTAAACAGTATACAAAAGATCTTTTGAAAATGTGTGATTTTTAACAGCTGTTTAAAGATCAAATAATGAAATGTTAATCATGTCAGAGAGAACTGGATACAGCTTACTAACTGATGAGAGGAGCATTTGATTAGCAGAGGAGATGGATTTCTATCATCAGACATTACCTGTGCAGTAACAGCCATGGCACTCTCTGTTATACATTTATAGAAGACCCAAATAAGACATTTCTTCATCACTCTGCAGTGAGAGATAAGCTTGGCAGGGGATCAGTAGGACTGAGCCCTTCCTTTGATCTTTCCATTTGCAAATGCTGTAATTTTGCACTCCAGGTCTGCGCTGCTTCTTGACCCTCAGCATTGTACCTATTTTCCATCAAGGATTCAGACCACAAGGCTCTTCTCATCCTTCTTGCCCTCATTTCTGCTGTTATTCCAGCTGAAATGGCATGTTTGAGTCTCCATTATTTATTATTTTTTATTTTGTCTGCATTGAGTGGCCTCTAAAGGACAAAGCTGATGACACAGCAGTGCAGTGAAGAACAGGGGAATGACCTCCCTCAGAACTTAAGCAGCAGCACAGAACATGTTACTTCCTTTTCAAGGTGCACTTTTTGTACCTCTCTGCTGCACATATCCAACTGCACTACAGTACTAAAGCAGAATCCAGTGGTGTTGTATTCTGGCATTCACTTGCATCTGAATGTTTAATAAGAATTTACTCATTTTCACACTGGAGACCAACTTAAATCTACAAAATTTCTCCTACCTGCATGACTTGAGGCTACACTTTCTCAAACTGTACACATGTCATATTCTCCACAAAGAATGGATTTTTCTTGGATATTTTCCCTTCCATAACAAGAATGTAATTGATCTTTTTGTGTGCTTCTAATGACTCTCTCCAAATTAACTGTGATAATCAATGCATTTTTCTGAAGTTATTTTGTAAAACACTTTATAATTTTATTGATATTTAGTGCTACTTTGAAAAAAAATTATAATTATTATTTTATATTATCAATCTCTGAGTCAGCTATTTGGCAACTCATCACTCTCTGAAAGACGAAAAATTATTCTCATGCCATAAGTCATTCATAAGTCATCCATATGTAAATGGAAAAACTGGCTCACATGGGAGGATCCCATGGAAGAATCATGTTTCAAAGTTCTGTGAGCAGTCACTGATCCCTCTCAGCCTGTGAATCTCTGAGGATCAGTTGCCCAGCATGCCACTTACTTTACATCCATCTTTCATTTAAAAGTAACCAGTGCAATACCAAAAATAACATTCTCATTGAATTAAGATGATGAAAAAAATAATTTATAATTCTTTAAGACACACATACACATTAACTGTGTTATTTCTAGTGTGCATCCCCCTTTGCCACTACAAATGAAGTACAGAATTCATACTGGTCTAAGAGAGTTTTTATCAGCAATAGAGTTGTATTCTTATAATTGTAATTGAATTAAGCTAACACTCAGGACTGTGACAATACTGACCCTGATGGTGTAGATACATTCCAGTTGTTTGGAAAATATTTTTTCTTGAGAGTGTATAATCTTAGGTTTATTTTGTGTACCCTTCTAGTCAATTCTGATGAGAAATTTTGAAGATCTTTCCCTTATATATGCATATATGTACACTATTTACTTTCAGGACTCAGTTTTGCATAGCCTCCTAGATCTTAATCTAACAAGCATTTAACAAGCATCTGAAAAGTGGATTTTGTTTTTCTATGTCAGTATTAATTAATCTTGAGTACACATGTGGAATAGGAGCATCTGTATATCACAATCCAAGAGTGGCACCAAATACAGTCGTGTTGGTCTGTGTCATGATGAAAAGAGCCACTTCCTTGCAGTTTGCATATGTGTAATGAAAATGGCATTTAGGTCCAAAAATTGTTCATAAAGTATGCTGAATCCCTATCTGTGTATTTCTGTATCTGTGGTTTAGATGACCATAGTTCTGACTTGATGATATGATATGAAGCACCATGAACATTTTCCATGTCCTCACCCCACAAATAAATTCACTAAGCAGAACCAACGATGGGAGGGAAGAAAAGGCTCACGAGGCTTGGGCTCACTCTGTCTACATTAGTTCTGGCCCTCAGAACTTGCTTACCTGCAATTCACTGAGGAAATGGAGATTGGCTGTTACAGCAGTACTTATGCCTAAAGGTTGGCTTTCCCTTTTGCCAAGACAGAAAAAGGCTGATCCCCTCTGAAACCCCACTGGCCAGGATGTCTGAGGTGAGGCACAGACAAGACTGATAGGAGGGGTTGCACAAGTGTGCATAAAAGGAGGAAATACAAAGTGGAAAGCCAATTGCTGGGGTCTTTTCTGGTAATGTGTTGCTTTGTGTCTGCTGTTTTCATTGTAGTGAAATCTCTCAGAGCGACTCCCTGGAGAGAATAGAAGCGAGTGCCTTTGACAGCCTTCCCACCTTGTCTGAAATGTGAGCACCTGTTAAAAAAAGGCATTCCTGTGGTGGTTTTGGATCATCGAGGAGTAAACCTTCTGCAGAGAAGTATTCCTGGACCAAATCTGTTACTTTGACTGAGATCTTTGATGAGAAACATTTCTCTCCAAAGCAGTGTATAAAATAGTGAGCACTCTGTAAGGCCTGGCCTTGAAGATCTAGCTCATGCCGAGACATCCCTGCACGGAGTCCCACTGCTTTCAGTGAGCTCAGTGGCAGGAGTGGAGCTCTGGCACTGCCAGGTTTTCTAAGCAGGAAAATAATTTGAGATGACAACAGATGAGAAAAATCTTTCTTTTTGAACATGCCATTTTTAAAGCCCTACGTTATTTAAATAAAGCTGTTTAGTATGCACAGCTCTTCTGTGGAGCACTAAAATATTACTCAAACAGAACATGCACTGATTTTAAACTTGACCTGCATAGCACAGGCATCTGAGAGAGTTAAAAGCAATGACTAGCAGAATGTTCTGAAATATTTAGTGAAACTGGAAACTCTAAATCTGATTCAATACCTCACTACTGCTCTTTTTGCACAGTTTGACCACTGAGTGGTTGAAAATTATGCAACTGAGTGAGGACAAATTCATCCTTTTTTTTTTTTTTTTTTAATATGTGAACATCACTGAAGCCAGTTACTCACATAAGTAAGGGATACAGATTAGTCAACCTCTAATTGAGTCCAACTTCCACTAGAATCAGTGGTGTGTTTAGGGAAGGAATTAAAGAACCCATGCATTCACCTGCAGTTTATGGATAGCTTGTCTTATGCCTGTCTTCCAAAACCCAAAACCTAGGAAAGACCATTAATGAGCTAATCAATGGAATTCCAGGAAGGTGGAAAGAAAACCTCCTTGAATCTTGAGTGCTGTACAGGACTCACACTGCAAGGGCTTGATGTCCCAAGCTGCACTCAAGTCCACATTCAATGGATGATCAGGGTAGAGTTCAATGGCATCCTTGAAATTCAGCTTTCCTGCCATTTCACATGCTAAGACCTTTGTATTTTGTAAGTCATGCACAGGGAGGGAGCTGGGCTACAGTTACTGGCCTTTAGGGCAAACAGAGCTTTACCAGGCAGTTCAGCTGCAGAGAGTGCTCCTTGATGAAGAGATCTGCCCACTTTTTGAGTGACCACTAGCAAACAGGACTTCTCTCACACTTCTCTCCCAGTTGCTGCTGATCCCCTCCTACCAACCACTGCTCTAAGGAAGTCCATGGTGTTCCTAAGAGGTTAACCTATCTGAGGAACTGCCTTTCCCAGCTAGGAAGAACATTTGTAATGTAATTGAAATGACAGATGATTTGAAAGGATCTGATGATTGTGGAGCAAGGACCAGGCACACACACACACACACACACACACACACATTCAGGTCCAGGCTTGGCCCCATGTCCAAGCCCAAAGTGCTAACTCCCACCTGTGACCAGGATATCCAAACAGGACCAGCTCAGAGAACCATGAGATTTCAGGCAGTGTCATCTTTTGTTGGCTGCCTAAAACTTGCAGGCCATTTTTATTACCAGCAGTGCCTCAAAATGCATCCAGCAGCATATTTGCAGGCTGTTTTCTGAGAAAGTAAATCACAAGCAAAACTCAGGGCCCTCCCAAATCTATAGTGATTGTAATACTAAAATATTTTTCCCCTCATTGCAGATTAATCCTGAACACAAAAAATCTGTTGCACATTGAGGACGGAGCGTTCAGGAATCTTCCAAGGCTAAAATACTTGTAAGAAAGAGTTCTATTCCTTTATTTGTCTGCTTTATTTATTCTTTTCTCCAAAGGAGTAGACAATTCAAATTAAGGAGTGTAAGGAAAAAGGTTTTTCAATGCATTACAGTATCCTAGAAGTACATACGTTGTTTACAATAGCTTTAATCTGTAATTAGCCAATCGTGAGGTCTTCCAGTGTACAAGGGCAGGGCAGTGATGGACAAAACAGAAGTCTGCAAAGTAGTTCTAGTAAGTGCTTATTTCTAGAATAAAGCTTTCAGACTAACAGGGTACTAAACAAAAGATGTAACTAAAATCTCTCCCTCATGCCTAATGTAGTGAGAACATATGCTGCTCCTTCAGGACACTGCTTGAGAATTCTAAAAAACTTGCTTTTTACAGGACTTAGAAACTCCTTTGGAGCCTACTTAAAAATATATATTTGTCAGTCACTTTTTAAAACACTGTTAAACCTACACCTACCAAGTTGGCTTCTTGTTGCATCCACTCTGGTAATATTTTCTTCTATAAATAGAAATTATGCTTTTCTCTAGGAGCATTTGTAACACTGGAATAAGACAATTTCCAGACTTGACACAAATCTTCTCACTGGAAGCTCATTTTATTTTGTAAGTAGAGACCCATCCTAACCCAGCTGTGAGTGTTTTCTATCTTGTTCCAGAGTCACTGACAAAAATGCCTTTTTTCTTTCCTTCCATAGGGAGCTCTGTGATAACTTGCGTATGACAATTATACCACAAAATGCTTTCCAAGGGATGAACAATGAATCACTGACACTGTGAGTAAAATAATCCTAGCTCCAGTTCCTTCTGCAGGGATAACACTTCTGCTTGAGGAAAGTGTGTTGACTTCATGAAAATCTTGACATTAAGCCCTATAAAATATACATACATATTGTGTGTTGAATTTTAAATGCCTAAGAAACATAGGGATGTTCTTCAAGATGAAGAGCAGAGTTTTATCCAAAAGATAACTTCACTTAGGAAGGAAAACAGGACCAGGGATCTAAATCTTCCATCCGATGTTTTTAAAAATGCCATCAGCAGGACATAAACTACAAAAAACTGCACTGGAGGCCAAAGTCTCTGTTCTTACCTCAGGGATGCAGTTTCTTGAAGCAGTGCTTTCAGGGACCAAGCATTCTGAGGGAGCTGAGCTTCAGCTGCACAGGGTCCCTCTGAAGAGGAGGGCTGGAGACACAGAAGAAATTGGTACAAATTACCGATGCCACTTCTTACACTGATTTCTTTTGCCTCAGCTTACTTTCCTGTAAGATCCCCATAAGTCTCCACACCCAAGACTTTCCTTTTAGCCAACAGTGGGTTCATTGCTTCAGCCCCCTGTGAGGTGGGTGGTTTGATGCTAGGAGATGCCCCACCTGAGGAATGCAGGAAGCAGCAGAGAGCCAAGGTGAGATGTCCTCTGCCAGCACAGCAAGAACTCTGTATGGATTTCACAGCTCACTTGTCTGCAGAACAACTTCCACAAAGTAGTGCTGGAAGAGGAGAAATCACAAGCTGAGCCTCTCGGCAAGATGTGGCCAAAATTTGGGTTTCCCAAGGTGGGACCCTCTGAGCCACAGAGAGCAGCAGCAGGCACACCCACTTGGTGTGGTGGCCACAAGCCCCAGGGAAGCCCAGTGAAGGCAGCCTTTGGGGGCCAGGCTCCAGTACACATCCAACAGATGTGTCCAACAGGACATCCTGCCCAAAACTCCATGGGTATTTGCACCTGCAAAGGAGCCCTGCACATGAGCAAGAACTGCAGCTGATGGACTCTTCATCAGGCTGATGTGCCAGCATGGTAGTAACTTTAACCCAGATTTTATGTATTGACCAATACCTTCTGGAAACGAGAGAGGAACTGGGCATAAATGTGACTGAATGCTACTTCTACGTGATGCTAAAGAGGAGAAATTGCTTGGATTAGTGCCTCGTTTCATCTTATGAGCCTCTTTCCTCCCAACAAGTTCTCAAAATAACTTCAGCAAAATTATGATTCTGCTAATGGTGCAAGAAAATGAACATAAAAGAGATGGAGAAAGGTGCTTAAAGTCTTGACTGTAACCCTAAAGTGTATTAAATGGGAGGGAGTCTAAGCCAGGAAACAGTCAACAGTCATTTTTTCTCCCATCCTTTTGTGATTGGGAGCTCACCACAAAAAGAAAAGAATTATCTTATCAGCAGCTTCCTAATTGTAGAGCTACATGTTAACTCCACCCCATGTGGTTAGTTGTAATTAGGTGGAGTAATTCCTCTTGCTACAGCACGGTCTGGTGAAACACAAGTAATCTATGGAGGTGTAAAGTCACCCTGCAGTCATACTTTGCACTGCAAATAGCTAATTTAGCCTTTCCAGCAGTTAATGTTTCTTATGGATTGGGAAATTGATCCTACATATTGTCATGGTCTTTAAGGCTATCGCTGGTTTCAGCATTGTGCTGAGGTAGACACCAGCTATCAAATGGAGCCAGGTGCTCCCCACACTTGAGCACTTGGGACCAGGTTTCATAGGGCTGTTTTGTGCTATCCCAAAAGCAAGTGGAAAAGCAACAGAAATGTTGTTTAATTCATAAACAGTTCCAAATTTGCTAATAGGGCTTAATATTAAAGAAAGAATAATATATACAGGTGATTATATTTAATTTCTATTGGATACATGAACTTAATATCACAAATGGATATTAATAGACTCATAGGTTACATCTCCTAATGAAGGAAAAGAGCTAGACCTGAGGTGTAGCAGAGCCCAGGCTTTAGGTGTCTGGCTCCAGGGTAGGGAATCAGGAGATAGGGTAGCATCCAGTGTCCCTGTGCAGGGCAGGGGACAGCAGGGATTCCACAGCACAAATCAAGCCTGGCAGCAGCACTTTGGAGAAGCTGATAACTCACTGACTGCTGGATGATGCACAACTCACCCCTGCCTCTCTGCAAAGCTGTCTTTTGAAAGATTTGCCCATCCACACAGGATCTGCAATCCAGCAGCTCCCTCCAGGCTTTACAGTTGTTTTCCACCTGACATATCTCTAGTGCTTGCAGTCTTCCATCTGCACCCACTGACACCCCAAAATCCAGGTCTTCTGCCTCTGGGTTGTTGTGTGTGTGCCAGGAGCTTACCTGGACTAATGTCTTCTTTCTGGATCTCAGCCCCAGGTAGGCACAGGTGAGCCCCCCAGCAGGGGGGGATCTGTACCTCAGAGAAGTTCTCTTCAAGAGCTAAACAGCAAGGAGCTTACAGAATTTAAACTGCATCTTCCTTAATTTAAGAGCTATAGTTACCTTCATTCTTTATAAGCAGAGCCTCTAATCATTAAAATGAATGCAGCACTGAGGTTTGAAACTTGTAGTACATAACATAACCTCATCTTTTCCATATCTTCTTCCCCTATGTTTAATCTCCAGCAAGTTGTATAAAAATGGATTTGAAGATATCCACAGCCATGCCTTCAATGGGACAAAGCTGAATCAATTGTGAGTATGCTATCCCTCCTCAGTAATTTAAACAATAAATAACAATTTAAATACAATCAGAGGTTCTTTCATTTAACTGGCTGTGTCTTCTGTTTCCCAATACCCATGAGAAAACTGCATCTTTCAGTGTCATTGTGACTCAGTTGTTAATCCTACAGCTCTCACTGCTTTTCCTGAAACAACATCCCTAAAAATAGTATAGCTTTTGTGACAAAATCTCATCATTCTTAATAAGATTTCATAATTTAGTGTAAAACTTGAATCAGTAGCCCAGACTAAGGAATCTACAGTTTATATCTGGAAACATCAATAGTTTTTGATCCCTCTCACACGCTGGTGGACTAGTCTTTTGGTTTCGGCAAAATGTATATTTGCTACTCTAGTGAAAGAATCAGCCTGGTTTCTCCTGGTTTAAGTCAGAAGAATCTGGAATTTATCAGATTTAAGTGTAGATGATAATGATCTGATTGCATTGGAGGAAGTAAAAGTCACATGGGAAATACATGTACTCCCCAGCCAGGCAGTGCAACAACCACTACTGTGGTGGGAGAAAGAATTGAAACAGGTGTGAAGAAGAAACTAAAAAAGCTATTTTTAAAATAGACATGTAAAGAGAGTTCATTTTTGGTTCCACAGAATCCTGAAGGACAACAAGAACCTCAGGCGGATACACAACGATGCCCTGAGAGGGGCCACAGGGCCAGATGTCCTGTAAGTATCCACAGCTCCATTACCTGAGTGTCCTGTGGGAACAACACTGTGCCACCAGAGCTGTGTCACCACAGCAAACACAGGCTTCGAGGCTGGAAGGAGATTTGATCTCTTACCCTCTGTGTACAAAGTGGAAACGTGTCAACAACATGCCATGAAATTAGAAAGATGCCAAAATGGAAGGAGTTTGCACCCTGGCAAACACATATCAGTTCCAGTGTTGGCATTGATCTCCACCTCTTAGACATTTTGGCTTTTGCTTTATTTGTGTAAGATTCTCCTGATCTTGTTCCTGATATTGTAAACATTGTCCTTTGGTAGGATGGATATGTTTTGGCAATATATATTGGTTTAGAATTTGTTTATAGTAGTGAGCTAGTTGATTGCCTGCTGTAAGCTCATGCTGAATAAAGCTCATTATTATCATCCTCATGATTTATTAATCAAGGACTTACTAGAGGGGTGCCCTGGCTCTAACTCCATGCAATAAAACACAGTGTGGTTCTGTAAATAGCACTCTGTGCTGCATGTGCCTTTTTTGTGCCTTTTATTGGTGCTTTATGGAACATGGCATTACTGATATCACTTTCAGAATTGTGGGCCTATTTTCCTTTGTTTAATGTCCTGACTCTGAAAATCCTTAATCACTGATGGACTGTCTTCACACAAACAGCCCCTCTGAAGTTGGCCAAACTTCTTCAGTTTGTTTTGGCAAGAATGACAGATTATTTTGAGGTTTTAATTAATAGCCATTTAATTAAAGCGCCTAGAACAGCCCTTCAGAGGCTTCAGACCAAGGAGGGTGTCCTACCTGTTAGCTGGCTGGAGAGTCACTGTTGCCCACCTTCTTCTCTCCCTGTCTCTGGCTTAAAGAGGCATCCCTCACCCCAAGCATGGATTTCAAATGGAAAGGCCAGGACAGAGCCCCTGGCATGGTGGGTTTCAGTTTCCCCAGGACCAAGGGAGCTCCTGGCCTGGCTGGAACTGCTGAGCCACAGGGATGCTCTTACCCCGCTGCTCTGTAATTTCACAGACCATGTCTCTGAGCTGGGCATCAGGTGCCGAAGGGGCTTCGTAGATCTCAACCTTTGTGAAAAACCAGTTGCTGCTACCTACTGTCATGCTTCAGTGGCATTTTTATAGGGATAAATAGAAAAATGAATGCTCTCTTTGTTTTGCAGGGATATTTCTTCAACAGCGCTGGAGTCCCTGCCTAGTTACGGGCTTGAGGCCATTCAGGTCTTAAATGCAACGTCATCTTACTCGTTAAAGAGGCTGCCACCACTGGATAAATTCAGCAGTCTTCTGGAAGCTGTCCTAACATATCCCAGCCACTGCTGTGCTTTTCGAAATCTAAGGACAGAAAAGTAAGTCCAAATTGCTCATTATTGTACCGCGGTGCTTCAGAAGCTCCAAAATGGCAATTCTGCTTTATTCAGCTCACAAGGTTTGATTATTTTTATTCCAGTTACAGGGAAGCTGTGGTGTATTGCAAGGCCTTGCAGGAAACAGCAAATCTCTGCTAAGACCAGGAAAATTATGTCCATTTATTTTAGAGCAGAAATGGATCCCATCCTGTGCCCTGGATCTGCCAGCAGAAACATTATTCTAAGTTTGCTTAAAGCTTATATTTTTCTTGTAACCTCAATTAAAAGCCTACTGGTACACAGAAGACAGACCTTTATCAATAGCTCGTTGCCCTAATTAAAAAAAAAAAAAAATTTAAACCCCTGTAGCATTTAGCTTAATTAATACAGGTGATATGATGACATAGTAGAAAGGGCAAGCTTTCAATTACCCACCAAAATTAGGGCCTGCCACAAGCCCACGGAGAGAGGTTACACGGTTTAGTTCCAACCATTTCAAGCAATAGACAGTATTGTTCTCCCCACAACTGGAAACAGGGAGAGCTTTGCATCCACAAACTTGGGACAGCTAATCCAAGACAACTGGAGCTCATTTTTCAGCATTTATGTTTCAAAGAAACCAAACTCCAGTTGGCTTAAGGCAGCCAAAGCAATCCCAAATGAGTCTAGTTTGAGCCATGAAGGTGCCTCATTTCTCATCCATCTCAAATGAAGGCCACAGAAATGATGCACTGAGCAGGCAGTTGTGAGGGGCTTGATTGATGTCACTCCCATGCCTTCGCTTCAGGGATGCCCTGAAAAGGCAGGAATAGATTCCAATTCTTTACAGTAAAATTCAGGGTTAATCTATGCTTTTTCTGCCTACCTCATTTTACTAAGGGGTTCTTGATTCAGCAAGAACAGAACAAAGATTCTACTGTCAATCATTTCCATTGCTAATGAACTGATTCAGTCACAGATCACATCTCTGAGTGTATTAAATGCAGAAGCAACTCTAGCAGAGAAAATGAATTGCTGGGGAGAAAATCCCATGCAAATTAGGAAATGATTGCTCCTCTACCAAGGCCATCAGCAATGAGGTGAGATAAAGCCATTTCCATTCATACTGGTAGAGTACCTGGCTGCTCCTTTCAAAGCCTCAGATACAGAGATTTTGCCAAATGAATCATCTTTCAAACCTGTACCATTCAAACTGCTTTACTTCAAGCATGCAAAGTCCACCTCCAGATCCCAGACAGTTTTTAAAATAGGGCCACCTGGGGAAGATTCAAGCCATGCACCAGTATGGGCATGGGGATGAGCTGGTGGAAAATGGCTCTGCAGAGGACCCAGGGACCTGTCCCTGAGCCAGCAGTGTTTCCTTGTGGCCAAGCAGGCCAGTGGTGTCCTGGGATGTGTTAGGAACTGCATTGCAGTCAAGGGAGGTGGTCCTGGACCTCTGCTCAGCCCTGGTGAGCATCTGGAGTGTCCAGTTCTGGGCTCCTGAGTACAAGAGAGACACAGAGCTCCTGGAGCAGGTCCAGTGGAGGGCTATGAAGATGATCAAGGGACTGGAGCATCTCCCTTCTGAGGAAAGGCTGAGGGAGCTGGGGCTGTTCAGCCCTGAGAGGGAACCTCATGGATGTCAGCATCTGAAGGGAGGGTGTCAGAGGCTGGACCAGGCTCTGCTCAGTGGTGCTGGGCAATAGGACAAGAAGCAACAGGCAGGAACTGATGCACAGGAAGTTCCAACTGAATATGAGGAAGAATTTCCTTCTGTGCAGGTAACCAAGCAGAGTAACCTAGAACAGGTTGCACAGAGAGGGTGTGGAGTCTCCCTCACTGGGGATATTCCAGAACTGTCTGGAATGTGCTCCAGGATGATGCAGGGAGGTTGGACCAGATGCCCCACCATGGTCCCTTTCAATCTGACCCATTCTGTGGTTCTGTATCAGGCCAGTTTCCAGCAGCTGTTAATAGGCACTTCTCCAAAAGCCAGCCAAACTGCTTCCATTCATCCTGGTGGAGAATCTGGGCCACTTCAATATTTCAAAACGCACCATTTAATTCAAGTTATTTCACTATTAAAAAAAAAATACAACCTACACAACAACCAAGCTGAAAGACCATCCTTACGCACCTTACACTGCCTATTTTCACAGCATTTGAAGTCTTCTCCTTCCCACTTCCAGGTGTCTGCAGGAACGTTTGTGCTGCCTTGAGGCCAGCGCTGGCTTACCTTACACATCTGTGGAGATCACTTGCAGAGAAGACAAGGCTTTGGTCAAAATGCAGCCTGAAACTTAACTTTCTTCTCATCCTTCTTGCAGACAGAATTTGTTGCTTTCCATTTTTGACAACTTCTCCAAGGAGTGTGAAAGCACCATGAGGAAACCTACTAACGAAATGCTGTAAGTACCTCTCTGCACAGAGATTATGGAAGTAGCAAATACAGACCTCGTCCTCTTTCTGCTGTTCTAATAGGCAGGTCTTTGCCTGCCAATTCAGTCACCCCTACAAGTTGCACAGTGGTAATTTTACTATCATTAAACCAAGATTTGGATGTTCAAAAGGAAAGGGGAATAAAAAACCCTTGTGATTTCACAAGCTTTATGCATTCCAGTTTGTCTCCTGAATTCTGAAAGGATTTTAAAACAAAGATTGAATATTTACAGAAGTTGGTGGCCTACATGGAGACTTTCCATTCCCCGAAACAAATGCATTTGTTGGTGTGATTCAAACAAGAGCTGCTATTACTAACTTTTTTTTTCCTCCTATAGAAAGAGTAATTAGAACTCTGCATACCAATAGTTTTCCATGGTAGTATGGAGTCCCTGAGCTGGAGGTGTGATGACCCCGTGTCAGTGATTTACTCCGTCTAAACATGTCTTTTCATATCATCACAGTTTTGCTTGACAGTGTTCAGTGTGACAATGAGAAAGGCTAATATCAAAACTGTTGGGTTGGCTGCCCTGGATGACACAGGCTCTAACTCAGCTTTTAAGAGAGAAGTTTAAAGATTTGCTATTCTTCATCCCTCTGCTGCTAAATGGGAGATCTTGGGACTTCTTAGTAGCCCTGACGTGGCGTCAAAGCATTCTAAAGTCTAGAAGAAACAAGGTTATGGTCACAAAATTCCAATGGCTAAATAGAGCTGAGATGTGATTGATTCATTGGAATAATTACCTCCTTGGACATTATTTTGTTTGCTGGTTGGTGAGGCCTCCTACACTTAACCATTTGGTTTTATCTGTCTGTTTTGGATTAGCATCTGTTGCACTCCAGCTGTGAATTAAATAGTCTGCCCAGCCTATTGGCTCCTGAAGCTTTTTGCTTTGGCAAATCCCAATCCCAGCAATTCTCTGAGCAGGCATTAAAATAAGCAAGTGAAAGTAAGGTTATGGTTCATGGGCCTAATGGCTACAGAACCACAGCAGAAATCATCTGAAAGTCCCAAGTTCTTATTCGTTTAAAAAAAACCTACAAAAATCCAACTTTCACATAGCAGCACATCCACACAGCCTCTTAGAAAATCACAATTATTTTTATAAGTAAATAGAGTCAAATGCATTCCCTGCTCTTCCAGTTTGAGCCAGGCTAGTAAATGCAATACATTGGGCAGTTTTCCATATACAGAGAGAAGAGTTAGGATAATAAGTCTGGGACTTTATTTGCCCCACAGGAATAGCTGAAAAGCAGCTCAGTTTCATTTGCCAGTAAAGACCCTACTCCAGAAATATCATTTAATGGACATGCTTCAGTAGATGTGAGAGCTTAAGCATGTATTTAAATTATCCTAAAGCTACCAGTTTTCTCAAGAGTTGTCCTCAATAGAGATATTTTCCAGGACTCACACTGCAGATTGTTTTCCCACCAAACGCTCCCAGTCAGGATGATTGGGAAGTTGGGAAATAGGCACCTGTTATGGCAGGGAAAGACAGTGTTTGCTTTTAAAACATTTCTTCTTTGGTAGGCTTATCACACTCTTGATGACCTAGAGATTTTAGAAGTCTATCTTAAAAACCTACAACGTTTTTTATTAGGCACTGGGTGCAGCCTAAATTTAATAAATTCCTAGCTGTCAATGTGATTTAGTTAACCATGCACTCCTTGCCCTATAACACTGCGAACAGCAAATTCCTCAGCACCTCCCAGGCCATACATAGTCTCAGGAATTCATTTTCTAAGTGCCTTTCGTAAGGAGAGCAAAGGTGCACGGTTAAAATCCATAGGTTATTTTGGTATGGCTTCTACAACTGCCTGTGAAACCTCTGTGCATCAAACCCGTAATCCATCAGCCCAAGTGTTACTGTAGCTTGGACTGCAGCCAACCAGCAGCATGAGAACGATGGCTCCTTCACAAAGCAGTAAAAGTGAAGTACTTACAAATAAGCAAGTTGTATAAGAGAGCATTTCTGTGGATAGGACTGTGACCCCTGCTGCTCTCCAAGGCTGCTTCACAAACACAAAGCATTCTTACAAGGCTTCGTTATTTGTAAACACTCTGTGGAAACACATGGAGGAAGTCACTGTTTTAAAACAACTGTTATCTGTTGCCTTTTGCAAAAGAATGCAAGTAACATGTAACAAATAATTCACTTCTGTTTGGGGGGGGTGGTTTTTCACAGTTACAGAGAGGACTCCAACAACACATTGCTGTGGTCAGTGGAGAGGAACACGCACCCCTTTGTGACAGGTGATGAAAGTTCTCCCTACAGCTACTCAACCATTTTCGATGACAGCGAAATGGCCGGCTTTGACTTTGAGTACGACTTCTGTCAGCCTAAAGTCCTCACGTGCACTCCAGAACCAGATGCCTTTAATCCCTGCGAAGACATCCTGGGATACAGCTTCCTCAGAGTGCTGATCTGGTTTATAAACATCCTCGCCATCGCCGGCAATTTCACCGTGCTCCTCGTTCTCCTGACCAGCCACTACAAGCTCACCGTCCCTCGCTTCCTCATGTGCAACCTCTCCTTCGCCGACTTCTGCATGGGGCTGTACCTCCTGCTCATCGCCTCCGTGGACGCCCAGACCAGCGGGCAGTACTACAACCACGCCATCGACTGGCAGACGGGCAGCGGCTGCAGCACCGCCGGGTTCTTCACGGTGTTTGCCAGCGAGCTGTCGGTGTACACGCTGACGGTGATCACCGTGGAGCGCTGGCACACCATCACCTACGCCATGCAGCTGGACCGCAAGCTGCGGCTGCGGCACGCCGTGCCCATCATGCTCGGGGGCTGGCTGTTCTCCATCGGGATAGCCGTGCTGCCTCTCTTCGGGGTCAGCAGCTACATGAAGGTCAGCATCTGTTTGCCCATGGATATCGAAACGGGCCTGTCCCAAGCCTACATCCTGCTGATCTTGGTGCTGAATGTTGTCGCCTTCATTGTCATTTGTGCTTGCTACATCAAGATTTACATCGCCGTGCAGAACCCAGAGCTGGTAGCTGCCAATAAAGACACCAAGGTCGCCAAGAGAATGGCAATTCTGATCTTCACAGATTTCACCTGCATGGCCCCCATCTCTTTTTTTGCCATATCCGCTGCCTTCAAAGTTCCTCTCATCACAGTGACCAACTCCAAGATCCTGCTGGTTTTATTTTACCCCGTCAACTCCTGCGCAAACCCCTTTCTCTATGCGATTTTCACCAAAGCGTTTCGGAGGGATTTCTTTCTGCTGATGAGCAAGCTTGGTTGCTGCAAGAGCCGAGCAGAGCTCTACAGGATGAACTATTTCTCTGCTTATAACTCCAACTGCAAGAATGGTGGCGCAGCCACAGCCACAGCCCCCAGCAAAGCCTCTCAAGCAATCCTGCTCTTGTCAGCCTTAGAGAAGCCCTATCCTGCACCACAGGACAAGACATCTCACAAGGAAAATTAACCCGGGGTGCCAAGAGATGCAGCACTTTGCAAAGCCAGTTGTGATTATCTTAGTGACTAGGGATTGTTTTAAAGTATCTTGAACATTTCATAATAAATAAAAATGCCAGTCAGTAATTCTTATGCAACATAACTGTTCTGAAGTTCAAAGTGGTGTTTTCCGTTCTCTTCCTTTGTGGTGATGGGTGTGGAAGGTGGCTATTAGGCAAAACTTTTCCGTGTGAGGAACCAGAAAAGTCCAGGAATAGTCAAGTTGCTCTTGAGGCTAACAGCTACTGCAGTGATTGTAGCCGGGCTTCTTTTTCTCCAGATCGGCTTCCCTGGAGTATTTAAAGCCTGTTTGCTACCTTTCATGGCTTCTTTTTTCATTCCTATCAGCTGTGCTGGCATTGTTGGTTTAAAGAAAGAGGCACTAAACTAGATGCCTCCATTTCATCAACAGAAACTTCCAATTACACAGCCACCTACACACAGTTAAAGAAGAGCGTTCAAGAGATAGGCTGTAAAGATGTCACCAAGGAGGAAAGTTGATCTATTGAACTTTTGCCACTGGCAATTTTGCAGTTTACATTAAATCTCAGGCTGAGCTGGTGGGTAGTTTACTTAAATTATTAACCCATACACGGCCATGTGTGATCTGGAAATCACAAGAGATGCAAAACCCCCACTGCTGCAAACAGGACTCAATTTAGGACATCTAAACATCATTTAGCATCATTTGTGCACACACAAATCAGGTAAACTGTAAAGGCTCCCTCTCAGCAGCAGGAGAGCTGCTTCCTGCACAGGCAAGGAAGTGCTGCCTTGTTTTCCCTCCTGGAACAGTCTCAGGAATGATTTCCACCTGTCCACTCTCTGACATCACCAGTGCCAGTGGCACTCAGGAACGCACCAGGGCCTCTTCAGCACACACAGTCCAACTCTATCCCCAGGTGATGAAGCAGGGTAGTAGAGTAGTTACCTTTTGGTGACAATCTTCTCCCATTAAAATCTCTCTTTCACTATGCATTGCCTGATACTAAGTGATCACACTAAATGCCAGGTCCAGATTTGTGACTGCACTGCTAATTTAAGTAAGTGCAGAGTCTGATACATAAGAGAACAGTACTATTGTAATCACTTTAAACCTTTCACATTCTCCTTTTGAGCTGAGTCCTTTGCTTTCAAGTCTGTGACGGCAACTGAGTTCCAAAGCCCTCCTCTTGTTGCCAAAACACTGCACCGCAAGCTAAATTTGCTTCACGTTTATGAAAGCAATTCTTTGTACTAGTGACTGCTCTATCATTAGTTCATAATTGTGATAATTAGAAATAACATCTCTGACCCACTCTTACCTTCAGCATAATGCCATGATTTCCATCAGTACAAAAGCTCTGGATGTAAGCACAGCTGTGCTCATGAGCAGTTCCCACAGGAGTGGAATGAAGCAGAATTGAGAACAGGAGACTCTTAAAACTCTGTGGGGTTTAGCAATCACAACAAATTCCCTATGATGCACCTCTTTACACACACCAGCTCCTGAGCTCAGCCAATGATCAAACAGGACTATGATAGGATATTTAATACAAACCAAAGGTACTGGTGTGAAAAAATAGCTACTGGGCCTAAAACTTCTCTGTCATCTATATCAAAACTTATTTTTGAGACTCAATTCTTCTGACATCCCATAGAAGAGTCCTGCACATGATTTAGGACATGACAGCACAATATCTTAAGTGAGCAATAACTGATTTACTTGCATCATGTTTCAACAGGACAAGAGCTTGTCAGCACACCCTCCCCACCACATAACATGGTCAGGAAGCTACGGCAAGGGAGATGAGTTAGGATTAACAGCTGATAGCATCTGCCCTACAGCTGCAGAGGTAATAGCCAAGCAGCAAGAGTCTCTGTGGGCATTTTTCTTTTTGTACCTGCTGTAAGTGGAGTGAAATCCACCATTTTAAAAATTGCTGTTAAAAGAGAAAAAAAAAATAAAATTACAAAAAACATCAAATGTAATTTATATACTTAAAATTTGTCTACACACAAAAGTAAGCAAATAAGTAAAATTTTAGTAAGAGATTTAGACTCATGACAGAACTTCTCATAAAAGTTACATTTGTTATTCTATCTCATTATTTTCACCTTCTTTCTGGTGAAAAGTTTTAGACAGCCTGCAGTATCTCTTTACTGAAGTATCTCTGAAGGCCGTAACTGGTATTACACACCTCATCCTGTCAATCTGCAGCAATGTTTGCTAAACTGTAAGTAGCAGCAATCAAAAACATTAATTCATAAACTATTCAGATCAAAAGCACTGATTACTGCTCACAGGCTAGAGCTTACATTTTAATAAGAAACATTTTTTTTTCAGTATAAAAATTCCTGACTTCAGATGTATTTAGTTGAAAATGTCTTGTTCAAAGCTGTAATTCTTTACTAATGTTATCTTTAAAACTAGCTAAAAACTAAGTGCTCTTTAGCCACTTTATTTTACAGTGACCAGGAAAAACAGGTCACATATAGAAGCACCATTCAAGGCCTGTGTGGTACTTAGTGGATGGTGCATATTCAGATCCACAGAATCCTGTGCCACTACCTCTGCTTCCAGTCTTTCCTGACACTGGAAATGGTCCCACAGTTCATAATGTGCACATTTTTACATAGCATAAGCACCTCAGAGCCTGTGACAGAGTGCTGAAACCTAAAAGCATCTATCATGTGGTAAGAGCTGCATTTCTTGTGCATTTATGGGTCTGAAGTGTAGCATCAATGCAGCTACAAGTCATCTGAATGGGGGAAAAGAAATAATACACTGGAATATTTTAACTGCCTATGAATACACAATTCTTCACATACCAGCAGCAGCATCTTTAAAAGACAAAAGAAACATCACACTTGGTTCAAGTTCTCTAGTTCACTGTCCTGTCTTTGATACTGGAGAGTAGCAGATGCATCAAAAAAAAGCATGCAATAAACTCAATAATTGTTAAAAAACTACTTCCTGCCTTCTGGCATTAGCAAAAGAGTTTGCACTATTATGAATGAGGGCTGGGGTTTTTCCCTTCATTTCTTCCATACATTCATTCTCTCCCATTTTTACATTTCTTTCCCTTCTCCCAGCCTCTGCACCCTCTCAGGAGATGAGAGATAACCAAAATGGCTCACAGCATCTCATTCCAGCAGACATGGGAGCAGCAGCCAGGGGGGAGGCATGCCTTAGTATAGCACTGCTCTTTCAAGCACGGTGATCCTGTTCTGAGGCAGCCTGGCTGCAGCTTTACCATGGAGTTTCCCATCTTGCCCTGCAAGGAACAAGAGCCAGCCAAGGAAAAGCTGCAGCTCTGAAAGACAGGGACCCAAAGCTTCTTTTGGACCTTTGTTTCTAGAAGAACTAACAAAAAGTTGATGTTGAGGGCTGGGAGGAACGTAGTTCTCACGGTAGGGTGAGCTACTGCCATGTGCATGACTTGTAACCATTTCTCTAAGCAGAATTTATACTGAGGGAACACAAAAACAACTCTGGGCTAGAAATGTATATAAGATGACACTTTTATTATTATTATGCACAATTTGTATCATTCACAGCTTACTGGTCTGTAGTCCTAGAATGAAGTGGAAATGTACAGTAGCAAACTTAAATGACTTTGCATTGACAGTGAAAATAAATCACATTTTAATGTTACATCACACTACTCATTGCATCTCAGTAGTCATAGCTAGTATAGAATAAACAAAAATAATTCTCATATATTGAGAGCTCCACAGTCTTTCCCAGACATTTCTCTTCTTGCATTTAGAGTGCATGTCTTTAAACTGAAGTCCAAAACCACAAAGCAACTACAAAAATCAAGAGAAGTGTGCAGCTGAAACAGCCACAGGTTTCAGTCTTGCACAGATATTGCGCTTTTTGTTTTTAACTCAAAAGTCTTTGAAAATAATAACACAACAGTGTAACTGTATATTTCAAGTCAAACCATTGAAATCATGAGATTTTAAGAACTGGAAATAAACCAAACAGAACTAAAATTTATTTAATTATAACCAATAAGTATTTCTTTACTAATTCCTAAGTATTTCTTTACTTTCTTGAATTACAAACAGATAGAACTTTTCAAACTTTAAAGCTGTTCATTCCAATGATGTCTCTTCATTGGGAAAAATTAAATAATCAGAAAAGAACAGCAAAGACAGCTGAGTAGCTAACAGTACAGTGGTTCCATTTGCAAACTAAACAGATTAACAACACAAATTAACATCAAAGATTTTGCATATTTTTTATCACAGTTTTGCTGGTTTGAGTTTTGTTTTGTTGTTGTTTTTTTTTTTTGCTTGGTTGGTTTTGTTCTTTTTTGTGTTGGTTTTTTTTTTAAATTTTTTTTTTTTTTCTTTATGGCACAACAATAGAAAGTCCAGATGTTTCACAGAAGGCTTATAAGGAAATAATGCCACAGCATTCAAGGACATACTGGAACGAGGTTTCACCACTCTGCATCTCCAGTGGCTTTTGCAAAAACATGGTCTTTACCCTCAATGGACATCACTCCATCTTTTAAGTAGAACTTCCATTTGTTCTTAGTTCGATGTATCTGATGAAAAATAATAATCAAAATTAATGCAACCACAAATATACATTAGACCATTTATTAAAAAAGAAAAAAAAAACACTAAGAAGGTTTTAGCACAATCTGTTTTACACACCTGGTTTTTATTTTAAAATTCTTATGGCCCAAAATATTCAATGGAAGCATTATACTTCAATTGTTTTTAAAGAATTCCCTGCCCTCCCAAGAGAGAAAGAAATCTGCTGAATCTTACCCCATCATGTCCCACTCTCCTATCCCACAACTTCCCCCCCCAGAAAAGTGTTACCTATGACAGCTCAACACCAGCAGGACAAGACAACAGTAATGGGGAAATCCCAAAACACATCACACCTTGCAAACCAGTGTAGCTTAACTAAAATGCAATGTTTTCCTTTTCACATGGCAAAGCAATGTTGCATGCAAAAACGTGTCAGGAACAGGCTAAAAAATATCAAAACTTGGCCTAAAAGCAAATACTGTTATTTAAAAAAAAATTTTAAAAAGTAAGAAAGAATTTGTATATTCTGTTTCCTTTTAAAGGCCTGCAAGGAGATCCATACTGCAGAAAGTTTTGTTCAGTACTAAAAGAAGAAATTTCAAATATCTCTAGAAAATTCCTTGAATTGTGAGCATTGATATATTTTCAATTCCAGAAGAAAAGAAACAGGACAGCAATTTTACCAACATTGTCTTAAAAGTAACAAGGTAATTTAAGACATAACTGTTTTAATCTACTTTCTGCTGGGCCTACATCTTTTATTAAAACCGTATTGCAAAGGGGAAAGTTACCAACATCTTTCCCCAGTTTCTGCAACTCTCAATTTCTAATACCATTATTAGATGATACTAAATCTCCTGTAAAACAAGCCCAATGCTAACCTTCCTAGTAGTTTCTTTTACATTTTCAAGCCAATTTTCAGCTTATTTCAGACAAAACTTGCTCTAGATAACAGTATGCACTACCTATAACAACTGTAAAATCTGAATTCTGAAGCTGCAAAACTTGGTGCACCTTTCAATATGATACACACATCAATGGCTTCATTTCAGAGGCATTTTCTATGCATATCCCTATAACTCTCCAAAATAACCAGCCTCAGGAACAGTCAATCTGTCATAGTTTTATAAAGACAATTTTCTTAGCACCTGTATGTTTCCTAACCCACAGACAACCATTAGACAGACCTACTTAGACACACAAAAAGTTAGCACTAGTCACTTTTGAAAGAACATTAAAAAAAGTCAAGGCACACTCTTAAACTACATCCACGTTTTCCATATTTGCTTTAAAATATGCACTTTTTTTATCTTTTAAATTACTGACATGTAAGCATCTGAAACCACACAACAGCTAAAAGGACTTAATTTGATCTTCAGGAGTTCAAAATAAGGTTGGATTTTAAACATTAAAATGAAGGAGGACAAAAAGGCACATAACTACTTTGTTTTTCAGACACAACAAAATTCTGGTAGGAAAATCTCTCAGTAAGCACCACAAAGACTAATAAAAAAAAATTGTAAAAGAGTACACCTCTCTTTCTGTTATCCATTTTAAAAGCTGAATATGCCTACATACTTCCACAGAGATGTTGATCTTACTTAAAAGTTAAGGAAATAAACAAGCTTTTGCACCTTTACAAATGATAATTTTTCCAGACTTGCTGTTCCCTTTTCCTTTAATAGGCCATTATGATTAGCCTCTTTTCAGAAAACAGCAGGAAAGTCTTCAGACTATTGTCAGCTAAACACATAATTTAAACACTATTACAGGATTAGAGTTTCTTCAAAAGGCACTGACAAGAGAGCAGACATGGATTTGTGGAAGATATTATTTAAGATGATTTAAGAACAAAGATAAAAGTGTATTACTGTACCTTTTCATACTGACAAACTATCACATTGTCAGTGTCAAACAAGTCTGCAATGTCCTGTTCACTGACATCATCACCTGAGTTTAAGGGGTCCTAGAGATGAAAATTCTGTTTTATACTCTTTCAGAATAGCATTGAATACACTTGTAATTAAACATACCCAGAACAATAAAGTTACCACTGCAAAAACCAGGACCTGGAGGCTGTGAAGACCATGTTGCAACAACCTCATTTACAAGTACCTTTTACATATTTGCATTCTCAAAACCCAAAACACCCTAAACAAAAGCACAGGTCAAAGAATCAAAACTGATAACAGAGATCCCAGTAACTGAAATACTGATCAAGTTGTGCTTATGTGAAGTCCAAGTGCTGCAAGTTGATTGTCCTGTGAATAAACCCATGGGATACAAAATTGCTTATCTTTAAGAAAAAGAAAAACCTAGGAGACACAGGGCATTAAACAGAGAACAATGTTCTTGTATCACATTGTTCACTC